GTCATAGCTAATCAATAATCATTACTAACAACAATTATTATTGATTAGCTGTGATGCTCTTAGACGGCCTGATTTTATGAGGTAATATTACCAAGGAAAACATTTCAAATAGGATGTATCCTATGAGTTAGAGAGAAAAATATAAAGAGGAATAAAACTGAAACATGCCCATACAGATTGCAACAACTGTAAAAACACACATCAGAATTTTATAACACATGAGGACTAGAAATTATGATTATTACATCCAGGTGGATTATAGTAAATGATATTAATTATTTAGGTAAGTAGACTTAATTACCCAAACTGAACTTCCTAAGATACAAGGTCATCCTAACTAAGCCTGCAATACCTGTATTGTCTGTGACCTGAGAGAATGACTTGGAGACATGAAGACTGACAAGTCATGGGGGAGCCAATACATAATTTCTGAAAGCTGACCAAATGCATCAGTTTTGGGGCCAAAAGTGTTTGCCATAACTATAGCTAGGATTAATAACACTGCCACAACTCTGAAATCCACCTGTGAGATCCCAAATCTTAGTTTCTCAAAGCAAGTTAAACTTAGAAAGCTGAGGTAATGAAGCCCCAGCTTCAGTTTCAAGTTACCTTATCATGCGAAAAAAATATATTAATTCCTCTGACATCATTACCTTCATGGAATTAATGCAAATATATTATTATTTGTTCCACATCATTCAGTTTCATGTCTTCATGAATCTCTTGAGAAATTACTCGATGGAAAATTTAAGATCTACAATCATTTAATATGTAATCTCAGTAAGAACATAGCGGACCCATATTTCCTCCTTTTCTGACTCAAAACTATATCAATATCATTGCTTGTAAAGAAGACTTTTTAATAAGCTGGTGCAATTAATAATTTTCTGCACACTGAAATTCTTAATTTACCCTTGTGGATCTGCATCTATTTGAAAGCATTAGTAAAGCACAGAAAAACTCAAGGACTAACAATATTGGTATCATACTTTTTTCCAAAGCAAAATCTGCTTTTAGTTCTTTTTTAGTTCTAAAAACCCTATTTGATTGAAAAGGAGTGTATTTTGGAGTTGAAAAATTCAGTTATTAGATTTAAATTTTTAAAACCCTATCCCTTAAAAACATTTAGGAAATCCAGTCATATTACATCAAAGTAAGTGCATTTCCACATTATATTTTGCAAGCTTTAGCAAATAAAAAAATCCCCCAGAAGAATCTTAATTCTTATCTATGGAAAACATTAAACTGCTAAGCGCTAACAACTGGAATTAGTCCTTAAATCTCTAATGAGAATAATAAAACATGAGTGCAGTTTGTGCTGTAACTTGATAAGGCCTGAATTTACTTGCTGTTAGTAAAAGTTCCTGATCCAGCAGTATGGCGTTTTACTCCCTGAGGTACAGGAAACAATATCTGTCCTTTAGGAGCATCCTCTGTGGTAAGCACTTCTTATCGGGGCTATCAAAGGATTAAGATAGCAGTGTAATATCTAGTAACAGCAGCTTTATGAGTAGATTCATTACTGATTTAAATCAATCTAAAGCAGGTAGTTCTGTTTAACCCTAAGCCTCCCACCAAAAAACTGTCCCTTATACTAAAAGCTTGTTAGTCTGCAAAGATGAAATACTTTGCAACAGTAATATTTAATATTCTTGAAAATACTGTTTTGGACCAAACTAGGGCTATATGTAGAAGGAAATTAACTGAGCTTGTCTAAAAACAGCTTGCTGTCAATATGTCTGAAAATCTACTTTTTAAAAAAGTCAGTATCTAAATACTATCCACTGAAATTTTCTGACAAAACACTTATTGGAAGACTGTCTTTAGATTTTATTTGCTTATGCAGATATTTTTATTCTTTGCAATGGAAAATGTAATTGTAACTCTTCTTAAACTTCCAAAATGAAAACGAAAATATTACATTATCAGTCAGCAGGTTAGTGAGCCACGGCTATTTAAATTCTTAGTATTTTGATTTACTTCATATCAACAGAGATTCCCTCTCAACTTTTAAAAAAGTTTAAAAGTGTAATTTATATTTTTTTCATGTGAAGGGATTAAAATACAGTTTTAAAACATTGCAAATGTAATTTATTTAAATGATGATTTGCTAATTTTGCCAGTAATTAGATAACAGAGATCTCTAAGCATTACTTTTTGATTAGTGTTTAGAAAGATAAAAAAACTCTACCTCACTCAGTTTGACACAGCTGTGAAATGTCAATCAGCTCCCGGCCAGGAGAGGCCCACCAGATAAACACGGCTCTTCGAGAAATTATAAGACTTGCATAAAAAATATGCATTGGGAGACACCCTCTCACTACTGACTTCAGCTCAAGCATTTGTACTAAAATGTCACCTTCATAATTATCTTGGGCCTGATCCTGTTCTTTCCAAAGTCAGTTTGAGTTAAATTATTGATTGCAACAGTCAGTCCCTTGTGTTTTAGGAGTTAATGGGATCGAAGTGACATAATCAGCATGCGTAATTTGAGGTTCTCGAACTTCTTGAATTCCCCCGTGACTTATTTTGGAGACATTGCCTTTATTTCTGGACTATTCCTCTGAATAATAATAAGAAAAAAGAATACGGATTCTAGTAAACAAGCAGCTTGTTTCTTGTCCTAAAGAGCAATTTTCTCAGAGCTCGTTTAGAGCCTGACCTTGTAATCCCTCCATAACCCTTCCCTGGTGACTCGAGCTTTCCCACCTTCAGTCTAAATCCATTTCCCTGCCAGAAATCAAGAAAAATCTCAGATAGGGTAAACACACGCAAAAAGTCAGCACTTCTGTTTCTGTCTTCATTACAAAGGTTCACAGACCAAATGAAAGCTCTTACACATTTGAACTATTTTAATTAGTGCAATTTAGTATTCTCCACAAATGCAAAAGGTTACACTCTTACTGATTCTTTGATTTAAACATTTCCTATTAAACTGTGTAATTTTAGTTCAGTAAGTGCTTTCACAGTACTTTATGCAAACGTGAACTCTTTGAGATAACAAAATCAGCATGAATTTTGTATTAGAAATATATTGCAACATTAATAAAACAAAACAGTGTATTTTCGTATGATAATACAGTTTAAAGAAATAGGTTTATTTTCAAGGTTCATACCATACAGGTGACAAACTATTTATTTACTCCTGCCTTTATTGGTAACTATATATTTCTTATCAGATAATAAATTTTACCCTCCAAGACATTTTGCTAGAGTATCAGAAAATATCCAAGTCCTAAAGGGAGACATGGCAACTAAAAATATGCTGATGAATTTCTCTGTCTTATTAAAACTGGAAACTGCTCTGTAACTTGATCAGTTTCTTGCATCAACAGAATATTGCTTTTTAAGGCTGGTATAGAAGAGAAACAACAAAACAGGCAGGGATATTTTCAGTTCTGCAGAAAGAGATGAAAAACAAAAGCTTTACCTTCACTAATTTTTTTTTTTAAATCTTTAAAATGAGAGAAATCTTATTTTTCTTCTATCTGATAGAGGAATAGAATTCATGCTCTTTATATCATATATGGATTTAAAACTTGCAAAGTTGCCATCAATATGAAAGCTAAAACCAGGCCCAGAGCAATGGAGTATAGTTTTCAAGAGTATATCAAATTATCGTTAATAGCCATTTTTTAAATAAAATATGAAATCTTGAAGCAGACAGCAAAGAATTGTATTGAGAGTAAAATCTTTCATTTAGACAAAAATTTAAAGAACTCACATCCCTCAATCTTAAAAAAGAAAAAAAAAAATAATCCGGGAATGTTTTCTAATTGCCATGGGATGTATATGCCAGTAGTATGAATGACTTTCACATGTCAGTTTTAACAAAAGTTCCTCTAAATTTATTTCTTTAAACACACTGTCGTTTGGTAGGTCTGCAGACCTACAGGAACAGATGAATAGTAGTGTTTGTACATGCTTTTTGTTCCAGGCTGTAAATGTAATCCTGCATTTCAAGGTTACCAAGAGGAAGGAAAGGCATTATCATTGTTTTTTCAGTCTGATTGTCCCATTTAGGTGATGTACATACTCGAAGCAAATTAATTGCTTTGCATTTTGTTTATATTTATTAACTGAGATTAGGAAAGGCAGTAAAATACTATATCAAAGCATTATGGAGAAAACAACTGGAATCAATCTTTCTCGTTTGTCACAGACAGCACTTATTTAAATCTAAAATATGTTCTCTGCTGTCCTTGGTCTATTCTGGTAGATAATAGCTCGTACCAAATATAGGGCTACAGATTCCTCTCTTCTTTTTGAGCATAAAAACCAGAAACAGTAACAAAAACAAAACAAAACAAAAAGACATATCAAACTTCTATTAATAGAAGAACAAACAAACAAAAAAACCCCACCAAAAAAAACAAACCCTACAGTCTGTTAGACCTCTGCTTCTTGAGCTAACAAGATTTTTTTTCCATTTTTGAAAATCGTAAGTGCATTATTTCTGCAGGGCTACTGCCAGAATTTAATCATCATGCCCCATCATTCAGACATTCATTTTGGGGCAAACCTTGCAATAACAAAAAATTCAGAAGGGCCTTGTAAAGAGGCAAAGTCAACATTTTTAAGTAATACAGTGCATTATGACTCTGTAAATAAGGCAGCTGCACACCACTCCTCATTCAGACAATTGTGCAAGAAAAGCATCACACCACTGTAATTTTGTAGACTCGGAAATGAATTTAAAATAGACATGATTGCATGTGCCCAACGCTGATTCGGTTTTCCCAGTTTTTGAAAGTTTAGAGTCTGAAACACTGCGACACCATCACCTGCTCATTATTATTTTCTAAACAAAGTAATATAGAATCTCCCACATAGGAAGGAAGGTAAGTAACAATATAGTGCAGGCTCCAAGTTAAATCTGGTTCAGACAGCGTAATAATGATGTCATTAAGGCTCCGAGCTGAATGGGAATCAGACAGTACTGTAGTACAGCTGCAGACATAAATCTGAAAGAACTTTTTTGGCTACATTCTCAGACTTACCTTGAAAGATATTTAGGAGCTCCAGCAATGTGAGTTGAAAGAAATGTTCTCAAAGGGAGGTTTGCAGACTGAAGAACCTATGTAGGCCTTATAGGCACTTTCTTCTGTGGCATAGGAAGGAACATTTTGTTAAATGAATAAACTAAGAGAAATAATTTCAGAAGAAGTGCAAACCAGAAAACAAATAAACCTTAATACTACCACAAATAAATGAGACTAAGGCAATTGTGGGACTGCTCAAAGCCTTTTTGCCTTGCTGAATGAAAGCAATCCCTAAGACTGAATGGGTAATGAGATCCTGGCTCCTGAGATTTTAGCTTTCTTAATCATGTTCATAATTAATTCAAGAACATTGATAATTTCATTACATTCTTTTTGTCTTATCAATAAATGATGTGCCTGCACTTTTGGTCCTGTGTACAGGGAGAAAGGAGATGCTTTGGGTAATATTGCACCAAGAATTGTGTATGTATATATGTATATATACATATATATTATCTATATGGCCCAAAATAGGGATGTGGTAGTTATTATCCTCAACCAGGCCTCTATTATCAGAATATGATGACAAGCAGTTACAAATAATTAATAAGCTTTTTATGCAGAAATGCAAAACCCTTTAAAGAAAAATATGCTCCAAACAGAATTCCTCCCTGAAAAATATGTACCTGGGATAAAATTTATTTTCAGAGATATTTAAGAATGGAATTTACATTAACTCAAACTACAAATAAATTTTTTAAGCATCTCTAGATTCTGTTTTTAAAATATCATTTTAAAAATCACCAACTTTAACTCCTCTTTCTATTCGAAGAGATGTGCCCTTATGTTTGTCCTTCCAAACACATTTCCAGTATCAGCTTACATCTAACACCAAGCTGTACTCACCCACTCAGCTGAAACTGTCTTTTTTTTTTTTTTTTTTTTTTTTTTTTTTTTTTAAATGAAGACTGAAAGCTTTCTCTTTATCTACCAGTCAGTCAAAGGGGAAGCATCCCTTCAGGGTTTACTACTTGCTCTGTGTAATCTTCAACAAAGCAGCAAATCTGTTTTGCTCTTTTTGTTGTTGTTGATTTAGATGTATCATTGGTTTTAGACATCAGAGACTGTAGAAGCAAAAGTTTCTGACCAGAGCTGAATACTTCTGTGTTATTTGTTCTCACTTGCATCTTATTTCATTCAGACATCAGTGAAACCATCTGCGGAGAAAGTGACCCTGCAGAAGAGAAGGCACCATAAATGGGTCCCAAACAGCTTAATAAACAACTGGAACAACCTTCAGCACACAAGCTACACTCATAAAATATCTACCATCCTGTAGCTCATTATCTTTTAAAAATAATAAAACCAGGCATTTCTTTCTTATGAGTAGGTTAAATGTCAACTTAAGGACAAATATATTCTCCACCAAATGTCTTCTTTTTCCTTTCTGATGACACCAGCTTCACAGAAATGTTACTCTACTGAAGGTTTACCTGGTCCAACCAACCCCAGGGGTGGCTTTTAGCCAGCACAGCACATGTGAGGTCAGTTACATGTTAAATATCCCCAATAAAGAAAGCCCACCGATGCAGGTGTTGATAAAGGGTTTCCATTCTGAACATACTTATCAGGACTAGGAGAGGAAAAAAGCATGAATTTCATGTATGTGTAATGTTTTGTGGTCATAAGTAACTAAGCATATATTGTTTATACTGCCAAACAAGGAGGCCAAGAAGCAAACCCTGGTCCCGGGTCAAGTGGCACCAACTGTCTCCAGCCCACAGTGCTCATAGCTAGCGTCTTTGAACAGATGTGTCTGGGGACTTTACCAAGGAGCCCAAAATACATCTAGGAAAAATGTTAGCAATTCAGTGGGGTGGACAAGTGGGGCACCACACTCAGCCTGGTCTTCTAGCCTTCACTTATTTTTTATGCCTCTGAATGTAAAGATACCCAGAGGTGCCAAAAATCCTGGTGTCAAAGAAATAGGGTACCCCTAGGATTTAGACAGCTGAGGAGAACCATCCAGCAGTTTTGTTTTGTTACGGGGGGTTCCTCAAGGGATGGAGGAGGCTTCATAAAGGATCTACTATATTATAAGAGTAAATATTTCCCTCTTCATGTTGTAAGTAATACTATATGAAGATAACAAGAGGCAAACTAAGCTAAGCACAGCACAGATTATTTAGTATGCTTGACTTGTTATACTGAAAAGACGCAGGGTCTGAACCACCCGTTGTACCATCCCTCCTGTATTACCAGCACTGTCCCTCAGGGCTGTAAAAATAAATCCAAATTGATTTAGGCAATCCAGATACTGCTATTCCCAATGGAGATGAGAGCATGCAGGTCTTGAAGAGGCATTTATCCCAGTGCTCCTGAGCCTCAGAAGGCCATAGCCATAAACCAGGACTGCACCTGTACTCAGATGATCTGTATTGCCTCCTGGAGGGCTCATCTCCTCGCTGACGGTGTAAGCCTCTGACTACACTCAGTTCAGGTATTTTAAGGGAACTCCTGGAGTTAGGTGGGATACAGCCAAACTACCATTCCTGGATGCAACAAATTAAGAACACTGAATGCATTCAATTAAGTAGAAAATACTCTCCCTTCAACCTTGCTGTTTTCAGAAGGCAGAATTCAAGAAGAGTAGGCTCAGATCCTGATTTTTGATTAAGTTGTTCTTGCTGTAGGTCAATGTAGTGCCTTCAGGTGTTATGAATCCAAGCTTTATTGCTGAGATCAGCAATTGTAATCTCCCTCAAATTTAGGGCAACATTTCTTTGTAGCAATTCTGAACTATAAATAATCTGGAAATCTCTCTGAACTTGATCATAAGTTTTGCTGCAAGAGCAATTGACAAGATGGCAAGCATCCCTAGCTAGCACATGGAGTATTTCAAGAGGGTAGTCTCAAAACTGGAGCACCTTATATGTTTGAAATCCCTGACCCTTTTTTTGATATAGGAGTTTAGATATAGCCTTAGATTATCCATGTTTTGTTCTTAATCTTTAGAATGTTAAGTAGTACTCATTGACTTTGGAAATGGCTTATCAGAGCAGAAACCTTAAAAGGTTCTAAGGGATTAGGAGAACCATCTTGAAATATATTAATAGAATCCACAGCACAGTCACTGTCAGTTATCAACATTTTTTTCAATAATAAACCATCTATAAATTCAAAAAACAACCATTATACTAGTTTACTGAATTACATTTTAAAACTAAATCCACTAATATAAGCTTGGGCAAAATTATGTGGGTTTTGTAGGATGAACTGATTACAGGAGAAAGAAGTCCAAAAAGAGCAACACAGAAACACTTAGCAAGGCAAGCTGTTGCCTGTGACAGTGATGTATGAGACATGGGTGATATATATACTGGGTGGCTTTATCAGTAAATCATTGAGTTATTTACTTCCCTGAGGAACTGGACCTGTCCCTGAAAAAGACTGCACTGTGAGATGCACCAGTGGGGAATTAGTATTGGCAAAACAGTCAATTTTGATTTGTTCACAGCAAAGAATCATAAAATATAATTTAATAAATAATATGCCACGGATGTACTTCCTTTTCTAAGTACTAGTGGTTTAAGAATGATAGAATCTGGATCTTTCTCTAGTTTTCTTCATTAACATGAAAGGAAAATTCTCCATAATATTGATTAGTTTTAAATAAAGCACTTAGCAAACACATCCCTGGCAGGGTGTGAACAGTTGCACACTGAAGAATGAAAAAAAAAAAAACAAAAAAAAACCAACAGAGTTGTAAAAAAGGAATTGCTGTAACTGAAAGGATATACCACTTTTATTTTCTTTACATTGCATATTAAAGGTATAAGACAATCTCCACCCTCTGCAGGGAACAGCTGTGAGGCCAGTTTTGAGTTTCCACTACCAACATTTGCTATAAGGCCATCCATAGGGACACTCAAGCACAGCAATGAACAGGATCCTCCCCACCACCCCTCTGCGGGCAGGGAGGCAGTCTAAACAGCCACTTGTGCCTTCCTTACCCATCCCGAGCTGCTGCGCCGGCAGAGGCAAGAGGATCCCCTGTGCTCTGCGCCTGGGCTTCAGCACCACACCGCCAGATTCACCACCTGAATGTGCTGCAAACCTGGTTTAAGAGAGAGCTCAAAGGACTATCCTGATGTTCAGTATGACACTGCTGTATAAGTTCCTTAGTTCTTTGTCTTACAGTAATTTTTGGTACTTTTTTTTTTTTTTTCACTCGTTTTTAACAACTCTGTAGTTAAAACCATGTAGATTGAAAAACTACAAAATATGTGCATGGTCAAACTGCAAAATAATAAAAAAAATATATCCAGCATTGACACAAACCTTGTAAATATTGCTACTTGCTACATCAAAAATGGGCAAGAAATTTCAAATGCTGAAAACATTTTCTGTGCAGAAAGGAGCTCAATGTTATTGAGTGTTATAGGAAGTGTTTCTGCTAACATTAACACCATTTTCAGAAAAGCTTTGCACAAATAAAGAAGAATCAGACACTAATTTTCAGTGTAATAAAAGCAGTGACAACTTTATCATTGCTAATGTAGAGAAAATGGCAGTTGTGATGCATAGCATATTATGGCAGAAATGCAAACAAAATACTTTCTCCTCTTTAATTCCCCCACAGCCTGGCCCTTCATTAGAATTACACCACATCTCCAGCACCATAGAGTGAATTGGCTTTATTCTGATTTGGGGCCGCTATTCATATATGGGTTTTTTTGTTGTTATTATGTGAGAACTTTGAAGAATTCCAACCTAAAGCCTACACATTCCTAATTATATTTGCCAAGAATTTCAAATCAGAAGTGTGAAGTACACTGGAAATGGTACTCACCTAGATCATGATAATATGACTGGACATGAAAACGTAGTCAGACTCAAAGAGTGACCAGTGGTACAATATCCAAGAGGTATCTGGTTACAAATAGCATTCCCTAAGGCTTCATGCTAGGCCAAATAACATCTTGATTAGTATCTCAGACAATGAGGTGGAAAGACATCCTCAGCAAGTTCGTGAATGACCTCAAAACAGGAGGCACTGTCAATATGCTGGAGGGCAGGCATTCAGAGGGATCTCAACAGGCTGGAGAAAGGGTCTGAATGAAATCTCACAAAGTTCAGTGAATAAAACTGCAACGTCCCATACCTATAACAGAATAACTCCATGGACCTGTATAGAGGGCTGACAGGCTAGAAAGCATCTTTGGAAAAGATAACGTAGTAATTCAGATAGACAATAAATAGAGCATTAGTCAGCACC